GGATACACTTGCTGACATGGCAAGGAGCCGACCTCAGTGGCGTTCCTGCTGTGAGTTTCTTTGTCCCTCCCCATCCCTTTAGTCCTCCCCCTCCATCTACGATCTTATTTCGTAGGGTAAAACATAATTAATTTTTTTGTTTTTGCCTAGTAGCCGGCTGGTAGCTTACCGGAACGATGCCTATCCGTTGCTGGTAGCTCAGCTGGCATGCAATTGTCGTATTTATTTTTCCTTTATGTATTGTATCTATGTATGTATGTATTTCCTTTGTGTATTGCGGTATAATAGCGGAGGTGTTTTACCACCTCTAGCTGACATGTATAATGATGATGAACCAAAAGGCGATAACAGTAATATGTTCAAACGTCCCAGAACCCAGTAGTGAATCGCTAAAAGGTAGACAAGCCGAGCAGCAAAACCACTGGGCTGAAATAACTTGCGCACTCGGACTGAAAGTACTCCTAACTAGTCTTACACGCTTTTCACGAAATCCATCATCTCCATTCGTAGGGGAACCTCAGTTACTGCGAGTAAAGTTTGACAACACACGCGACCTGGAAGATGTACTCTTAGCAAGCCACATGCTAGTGAACTCTTCTGTCACTGCCCGCATTTTTCCTGACAGATCATGGGCAGAAAGACAGAAGCGGAAATCCAACCATAGTGCGTGAAGTCAAAATGAGATGAAGAAAGTGCTACTGGTTCATGGTGTGCTAGAATTAAAGTGAACAACAGAAGCACGACATGGAAAAATGGAGATACATCACAGAGCTTTACGATATGTAAAATGTCGTGGCTTTTGATGTCACCCTTCTAGTTGCTTCCACAAACTACCAAGGCAGCGGGCCACCAACTTTGGAAGTTACTTTGGCTGCGCCGGAAAGGGTATCAGTGAAGATCCAAGCATGGTATAAGAACAGGAAACTAGGGCAACCAGAAGTACGGTTAGGACTATTCCTGCAAATAGTACAGACTTCAGATACAGATGGGCCAGTCTCGGTTGTACTTGCCTCAGATCAGCTAAGCGTGAAAACAACCGTTTCAAAAAGATTCAGCAGACCGGCACTATTTGTGCCGGTCACTCCCAGCGAACCGAGCTCCTAATGAGTCAACAAATACAATGTTACTACACAAACACACAGGAGTTGTACCATAAGCTCTCGGAATTGCGCCATCGACATAAAACAACTTGGGACCTCGTAGCAGTTACTGAAACTTGGCTTTCAAACGACATACTTGATCTAGAGATTGAACTCAGTGAGATATCAGTCATTCGAAATGATGGTCCATCTCGCGGTGGCGGTGTTGTCCTCTACAACCGAGATTACTTGAAACGTAGGGCCCTTACCGAAAATTCCCTTGTTATTCCAAACGCATTATTTTGCTGACTGCATCTAGCAGGTGGAGATGTTGGTTCAGAGACGACGCGTGATCCTTGCCTCGTAGCAGTTATTTATAGGCCTTTGAACTCATCAGCAGACAGCGATAACATTCTGTTAAACGCTCTCCGCTATGCTGTTTCACCAAAGTACTCTTACTATGTTATAATGAGCGAGGTTAATGTTTCTTCAATAATATCGATGACCCCTAATGGGCCATAATTCAAATCGAAGCTCCTTGAATTCATGAATATGACAGTTTTGTATAACCATGTACATCGACCAACCAGACAGCGCGGTTCAAACACGCCATCACTCCTAGACTTACTCCTGACTAATGAAGAGTTAATGGTTGAGTCAGTAGCATACGATCCTCCACTGAGCCGTAGCGACCATTCAGTCCTAACATTTGGTTGTGTGTTATGCCAGTATTGCTGATAAAGAAAGAGGGACTCAACAAACTATTACGGACTATTTTAAGCTGCACAACTTAGCAGCAACCGTTGACTGGGATCTAAAGACGCACAGTTCAAGGAATGACGCGTTGAATGAATTGAAAGATAAAAGTAACTGGGTTATACAAGTAGCCTCAAAAGGTGTGCCATTACGAGCAGCGCGCCGGACCAATACGTGGATCCAAAGCAAAACGCGTAAATGGATCAAGAGAAGAGATGAGATCTGGAGACAACATTCGCTAAGCCCATGTGATACCACACGGCAGAATTACAAAGCAATCAGAAACTACTGCACGTCGCTCAGTAGGGTCGACGAGCAGGAATAACGAGACTATGGTGCTGAAATTCACGAGTAAGACTAAACTACTACACAAATATGTGAATGGCAAAAGAAAGGTTAAGTCCGGAATACCACGACTCAAGGTGGCCAGTGGTCTAACAACCACTGCTGTGGATGCTGCGAACGCTCTACTCCTGCAGTTTGGCTCGGTAGCTACAGATACCATGGAACCTTCGCTCTATCAACTCCAAACAAATGTCGTTGGCTTATCCAGCGTCACCTCTACCCTAGCAGCTATTGCAAGCAGATTGTAGTCTCTCCGTGAGTACAGTATCCCTGGAATCGACATGATCTGCCCAAAAGTACTGAAAACCCTTTCTCCCACTATAGCAGCACCACTTGCAACCTTTTTCCAGGGTCTGCTTATCTCCCATACACTCCCATCTGAGTGGAAAAATGGAATTATCACTCCAATATACAAAGGAAGTAAGCGATTGGATCCTGCCAACTATCGACCTATTGCTCTCCTTCCTGTTTTATCAAAAGTGATGGGATCGGTAGGCGCAGAGGAACTGACGCGATACTTTGAAAGTCTACCATTTCTGATGCCCAACATGGTTCCAGAAGCAGACGATCTTGTCTCACCAATTTACTGCTTAGTCGGGACTCATGAACCAGGGCGGCTAATGAAGGAGTCCCCATAGATGTGATTTACTTGGATTTTTCTAAAGCATCCGACAGGGTCAACCACTTCTTTCTCCTCCAAAACCTTGTTGTCTACGGTATCAACGGTTCCATGCTCACCTGGTTAGGAGACTACTTACACGGCAGAGAAATCAAGACAAGCGTAGCCGACACTTACTCTGCAAGTCTGTGCGTCTTCAGTGGTGTACCACAAGGATCCGTCCTCGGCCCGCTACTGTTTTCAGTCTACATTAATGAGCTTCCAGCAGACATTCTATCTCCGATGTAGATCGCTGCAGACAATGCTAAAATATGGAGAGCAATTCGTTCAGCATCCGACCATGTCTACGTCCAGGAAGATCTGACTTGGATTAACGAATGGGCAGAAAGAAACCAGCTCCCACTGAACCCTGCAAGGTGCCACCTGCTGACGGTGCGCAGCAGCTTCGTCAACACATACCTTTTGGGGTAACACATGACTAGTGAACGCAACTTAGGTATAATCGTGCAAGGGAGTCTTGGCAATTCGCTCCAATGTTCGAAAGCAGCAAGTGTGTCGAACTTGACTTTGGATGCGAGCTCTCGGCACCTTTGAGCGACGGCTAGTACCAATGCTGATTAACTCCTATATTCGCCCTCACGTTGAATATGCAACTCAGGCCTGGTGTTCATGGTTAAAACGAGACACCCACCTATTGGAACAACCCCAAAGAAGAGCCACAAAGGCAACGCGTGGACTGTCCGGTCTAAGTTACGAACTACGTCTTTGTATACTCGGTGTATTCTTCTCAAAATACAACCGGCTTCGCGGAGATCTTATCCCCACATACCGGATACTAACTGAAAGCGAGCATTCATGTAGATCACTGTTGATTCTAGCCCCTTAGAAATAATGCAAAAGCAGCGAAAGGAAACTAAGGACGCAACACTCCCGTCTGAATTGTGGAAATTATTTTTACGCACTTAAAATCTGTTATCACTGGAATGAATTACCAAGATATGTGGTAAACGCACCAGACATGATGATATTCGAAAGACTCTTAGACTTTCATCATAGTGAGAAACGCTACACAACAGTTTGATAGTGTAGTGGTTAAACCACTGATACTTCACGTTCCACGTTGGAACATTTTGCTTTTAATTTTCTTCTGCATATCCATCCTGTGGGTCTTGTAAAGTCACGCTTTTTATCTCATCATACAGTATTGAAACTACAAATGGTGCCTATTGGTATGTTTGATCCGGAACACATTTCCACTCAGAGGTACAGGGACAGCAAGCGCAGACTGAGGAGTGCAGTTAGCATTTAAAAGAAGCGAATGCCATCACGTAGAGAGAGAGAGAGAGATGTAAGCGCGCGAACAGGAAATGGCGAAAAAAAGCTTCCATCCGAAGTGCATTGTTTAGCACTATTACTCCTAAGAATCTCTATGTAATCTGAGAAATCTGACCACTGGTTTCTTCAACTGAGGGTTTAAACGTAATCACGGCTGCTCCCTCCCCCCCCCCCCGTAGAAAAATCAGGATCACACCACTCTGTGCTCATTGAGAGGAAAGTTATCTCTAGCTAAAAATGATCATACCACCATCAACTACAGATGCCACACGTAGCTAAGATCGGTCTGTAACACATCTCGATCCAGACTATGCTCTGGTGCGCTCTTGCAAGGGGTTTATCAGCCCAGTCCAACACAAATGCGGAAAATGTCATCAAAATATCGGTTTTGGATTGCCTTTTCGATTTCACAATATACCGGTCTGATCACTCTCCATGACTTCCACCGTATAGCTACAAAAGAACTCGAGTCAAGAGCAATTCAAATAGAACGTTTGTTAGGACAAGCAAGCGATGTGATAAATCGAGGAAATAAAACAGTAGCACCGAATCACAAATGGCCTCTTGGATAAAGGACATTTATGGCGCAGTGGATCAGGTGTCCGGCTAACAATTTCCGTGCCCCGGGATAGCGTCACTGATCCCTCTTCTGCTGTGGCGACCTGAAAGCACTCCCCAGTCAGGGTACAAGCACTTGCGGCTACGTGACAGTGAAGTGTGTCTGTAGGATACGCGTGTGCTACCAATCGGCTATTTTTGGACACTCAGACAAACATACAGTGTCGTGTAGAGTAGCTGAGAAACGTGATATCTGCCGCTGGGGAATAGAAAAGCGGAGAAAAAGTGACAATGTATGATTGACTCACTGTGCCACACATGACTCGTTCGAACAACGGGCACTTTGGGATCAGTGCTGTCCGGGTCAGATTCCCGTTGTACCAAGGAGAGGGCGGCCAAAGTTTGTCTTGTCGAAGAAAGGTTGACCGATGCGTCGGATGAGGCGTTGAAATCCACACCATGTTCTCTACTATGGTCTGCGGTTATGTGTGCGCGTAGCCGGGCGACAAACATTCTGTCAGGAAGGAGATGGATGAGAGTGATGTGAAGATGAAACAGGGAACGAGAGCATGCGGCCGTCAAGTTGAATTAATAAAAGAAAGAAAGATGGGTGACGTTTGAGAACGATATCAAACGCTGGATGATTACTTATGACAGGGCAAGTGACTACGAGGAATGGAAGTGGAGGTTGTATTCAGAAATGAATACGTTGAGAGACTACCTGAATAAGTTAGACTAGCAGTGCGAAGTGGGAATGGTAGAAGGAAGGAAACATTTACTAAGGAAGTCTAAAAAAACCAAACTGATAATCGCTGCCCATCAAAAATAGTAATCAGATGGATGCAAAAGTGGGAAGCCGCCTCAACAAGACATTAAGGACAGATGCATGGGAAAGAACAGCAATGCTTAAAATGCTCGCCGGTCAAAAAGAGCAAGCCAGAAAGAGATGAGTGAGCACAAAGCTAGTATAGGGTGGTTAACGATGAGGTGCACCTGGTAACCCACATTTCAAGAAATGTGTTGACAAGCCACCACAAGCAAATGTATATAGAGCAAAACCATGGTAAATTGATCACTCAAGGAATTGGAGGTCCTAAACAAGAACACGGAGCACCCTAGTTTCCCGTTGCGAGTAGTACAGTGTGGGAGTTATTTTCAGGTACATCCCGTTTTGCATGTCAGGTGGGCTCCTAGATAATGGCAAACACAGTTTAGTCATATAGTGTTATGATAAATCAAAACACAGTATGCTTTCAGCAAACTTAAAGAGTTTAGAGAGAAAAAGTCTACTTTTGTTCATTTATATAATCAAAAATGTAACTGAAAATGCGCACAAGCTACACTAATCAGAATACTTGGACACTTCACAGCAAATAACTGTAGTCGCATTAAAAGAGATGTGACGTCACCAACTTTTGGAGTTTCTGTGGTTTTCATGTCCACTACGTGAGCGAGGAGTGTGTTCGGCGTCGCATATTTAGTGCAGGAAGTGCGAGCGAACCGCTCAGCACCGTTATATTACGCACCAGGCTCCGATGGCTGGGTCAGGTGTTCCGCATCCCAGAACAACGACTACTGCGCTGTGCGTTGTTTGCGATATCAGAGTGTGGATGGAAAAAGAGAGGAGATCAAGCGACGACTTGGTCAAGTGAAATGAATGCCTTCACTTCGAAGTTGGTGTCGGTTGGTGCCTCGCGACCGTCGGATTGGGGTCCGAAGGATGATGAATGTTAGATCGCGAACCGCCTACTTTGTGGAAAATTACACTGTCTGAGAACCAAGTCGATTTGGCGTCATTGATACAGTCCAAAGCTTAAAACTTGCGTGGAACAGAATTCCACACAGATCAAAGTCAAGTGCGCACAGAAACGAACCAAATTGACTTGTGCAGGAAGGTAAGTGTGCAATTTCCTACAAACAACTATGTGTTTTGTATGAGAACAGCCAGAGCTGCGAGCAGACCCGTGGTTCACTGTGTTACAGAAGATTTGTTACCGCCGCTTGTTTCACATCACTCATACGTCCCTTGATTCTTTGAGACCTACAAATTTAAACGAACACAATAATGTTTTGTACTGTATCTGTGTGTTTTCGTCCAACATCGACCTGATTTTTGTTCGCCGGTCGGTTGACTTTTGGCTCGCGAGGTGCAGCATAGGAAGCTGTTAAGTCGGAACCCTGAGGACACAACAGATTCTGGCGATGAAGGTTTTGGACAACAATGACAATTTCATTTGATCATATGCAGCAGCTTCTCCATCAACAGCCGGTACAGCAGTTCGGGAAATCCCAGAAGCAATTGCTCGTTATTTGCACAGAAGTTGTACGTTCAACCGGAGCCCCAAGATGCTGGCACACGGACTTCAGTAGACGCAAACACAGCAGCAATCACATAGTTCGTTTTCAATGAATCGAACGAAGTAACTTTTGATCCCTGGATTAGGAAATGTGAAGATAATTTCCGTGTTATTGGCGGTGCAAGATGATGCATGGGAAGTTCGGCTGTTGCTGCGTAAACTCGGTGCGGTCGAGCATGAAGGTCACACAGATTTTGTGCTGCCAAAGAAGCCAAGAGACTTCTGCTTCGATGAGACTGTGGAAACCCTGAGGTCGATTTTCGGTGAGCAAGCATCTTTGTTCAGTAGCCGTTATAACTGTATAAAGTTGCTCAAACGTGATAGCTCTGATTTTACAACACATGCTGGAGTTGTGAACCGTGAGTGTGAAGGTTTCAAACTGGATACGATGACACCTGATCAGTTCAAAAGTCTCATGTGTTTACAGTCTTCAGTCTCATGCTGATGTACGCACATGCATCCTACACAAGTTAGAGCAAGAACCCCATTTGACACTACAGGACATTGATATTGAATGCCAGAGACTGATTAATTTAAAGCATGATACCGAAAGGATGGAAAATGCTGACCCCTGGAGTGAACCGCAAATTTAACACACAGTTGCTCGAGATAAAAATGTGACCCATAAAGTACCCAACCAGAAACCCAGGACCTCATGCTGGAACTGTTGTGGATGGTATTTCGTGCGATTCCGTACTTACAAAAGCATCTCTGTCAGAATTGCAAACGTCTGGGTCACAAAGAATCACACTGCCACACAACGTAAGATTCCAGGACTGTAGCTACCCCAAAATTGTATACGAACTCTAAATCCAAAAAGACGTTGCTTCAGGGAGCAAGGAGAGAGGTGATTCTCGCGACCTGTCGCACAGAATTTGCGGGCAAGCGAAAGTACCTCACAGTCAAAATTAACGGTGTCCCCATATCCTTACAACTGGATAGGGCATCTGACATTATCATCACTTCTCGATCTTCATGGACGAGACTTAGCAAACTACCAATGAAGCGCACAAACCTGACCGCCCAAAATGCATCAGGCGAACCACTGAGGTTAGATGGTGAGTTTACATGTGAAATTAAATTCAAGAATCTGAACCTCCTTGGAACTATCTACTTAGTTTCTTGTCGACATTAATTTTCTTGGAATGGATTGAATTGAAAGAGTGAATATGCCTAATGTACCATTGAATCATGTGTGTTCCGAAACGAACCTCATGGTGTATCATACAGCCGTACCACCTCATCCAAGTCAAACCACTGCAGAACAGTTCCAGGGAAAGTATGCTTGTATTTTCCAGCCTGAATCTGGCCATTGTAGCAAGATGCAGGTAAAGCTTACTGTTACCTGATGCTACATCCGTGTTTCGACCCAGTCGCTCGGTCGCGTATGCTTCACAGTTAGTTGTTGAACATGAGCTTGACTGATTGCAGCAAATTGGCGTGATCCAGCCAATAAATTTTTCACAATGGGCTGCCCCTATCGTCGTGATTAAGTCGAACGGTTCTATTCGCTTGTGTGCAGATTTTTCAACTGGTCTGAATGATGCACTGCAACCCCATCAATATCCACCTGCACTTCCTGACTTGATCGTGAAGTTAAATGGTGATAAATATTTTGCTATCTTGGATCTGGCGGATGCTTATTTACAACTAGAAGTTGAAATTGAAAGCAGAAAGTTTCTCACGATCAACACTTATCGTGGTCTGTACCAATACAATCGTCTGCCATTTGGAGTTGAAACCGCACCCGCAATTTTTCAGGAAGTCATGGTGACTGGAGTAACTGGAGCTGCAGCCTATCTGGATGACACCATCATAGTGGGCAGCATACAGAAGGAATTATTTCAACGACTGGATGACGTATGATGCGAACCAAAGATTATGGATTCCGTTTACGCGCAGGAAAATGCAAATGCAAATGCAACCACCAGCGGAGCCTCCAAGTCCAACTTTGCAAATTTGTTTTATTGAAATCCATTAACTTCCTTAGATTCGTGATCAATGAATACGGCCGACATCCCGATCTCAAGAACACAGGTGATAAATCGACTGTCTACAGCAATGGTCACAAATCTGAGATCGTTCCTCGGAATGATGAGTCACGATAGCAAGTTTTTACCAAGGATGCATCGCTTGCGCCACCCCATGGCTTATTTGTTGATGAAAAATGTCGAGTGGAAATGGTCCAGGCTGTGTCAACAGGCATTCAATAAATTAAAATCTCTACTGAAATCAGACCTATTGCTTACCCATTACAATCAGAATCTGGAGATCATCCTGGCTAGACGCTTCTAGCTACGGGATCGGTGCAATCATTTCACACCGCTTTCCAGGTGGTTCAGAAAAGGCTGTGGCGCATGCGGCACGAGCCTTGTCCACATCTGAGAACTACAGCTAAATTGAGAAAGAAGCACTCGCTATCGTCTTAGCTGTTCAGAAATTCCACAAAATGATTTACGGTCGGCGTTTTACACTAGTGAAGGATCACAAACCCTTACACGCTATCTTTGGATCCAAAAAGGGTATTCCGGCGTACACGATCAGTCGACTTCAGAGATGGGCCAGCTTGCACTTTGGATACGATTACAACATGAGATATTGGTTAACAGACTCTATTGGACAAGCGGACCCTGTCCAAATTTATCGATACTAGTCGAAGTGAGCCTGAGGATGCCGTCATTGCTTCAATCACAACCGACACGGATAGCAGCCACATGATATGTGATTGCCTTACCGGTGTAAACGCAAGAATGGTTCAGCAGGCCACGAACCATGACGCATTGCTACAGGAAGTACTGACTTATAAAAGACAAGGCTGGCCAAAGCAGTGCCATGACGAATCTCTTATACAGTTGTTCACGTGACGCGCCGCTTTGGCCGAAGTCGATACCTGTCTGTTTTTCGCGGATCGCCTTGTCATTCCCGAAGTACTCAGGCAACACGTGCTGAGGCAATTGCATAAGGGCCACCCAGGAATCGTCCGCATGAAAGCACCGCGCGCAGTTAGGTGTTTTGACCCATGATGGATAGCCAAGTGGAAGAGATTGGACGATCCTGTTCTAAATGCTGCAATGTGTTCAAGTTACCTTGCGAACAACATTGCAATCCTGGTCAAACCCGAATCATCCTAGTCGCGGATACATGTAGATTTTGTACG